ACAGGCCAAGCATAGCATATAAGGCCAACAGTAAATTAACTTTCTCAACACCCCTCTCAGCAGGCAGCCAGAGATACGACTTTGAAGAAGAAAATGAAGGGGGGGGGAAGAGAGAAAGCAAAAAAGACAGAGTTGAAGAATAGCGCATGCAGCCACAGCGAGAAAAATGGAGTAAATGGTCTTAAGTTCCTGTGCGCGAGCAGCAGGCCTGAGGGTGTAGGAGGCATATGAAGTTGACTCAGCTCTCAGGTGGTGTCAGAGTGACTGGGTCTGAATACATTAGACATGGTGAAATTAGAAAGATACCATGTCACATTTCTCAGAATGTGCATTTGTTAGCTTTCAGCTGCATATAAACAATATCGAGTGATGTCAAAAATGTGGTCAATAACTGTGCGCAGCCATTTGTTATGCTATATTTTGATTTAATGTGGTTTAAAACACACACACACACACACGTTGGGTTTCCATGTTTTATGGAGACTTTTCATAGACATAATGATTTTTATACTTTGCAAACTGTACCTAAGCCTACCCATAAACCTCACAGAAATCTTGGTGCTTTTTTACATTTTCAAAAAACATGATTTATGCTGGTTCCTAATGGGGAACAAAAAATATTTTGTCACAAATTGCAATTTCCACTGTACTACATTTTTATCAGCCATTTTAATTAATTGCTTTAGTCTTTAAATTCATATATATCTATTTAAATTAGCAAGATTTTAGTGATTTATATGTCATATGTTATAGCAAGTGAGGGTTGTGTGTATGTGTTAGTGACTAGTAAAATAGATAAATTCCAATAAATGCAACTGTTAGCTAAAAATAGTGGAAGTGAGCCTGTCTTATAAACTCTTTAGGATTTAGGATTCCAATAGTTGACACATAGGCTACCCTTCCAGCTATACCAGCCCAGCTGCCCTAATTCATCTTCATATCTCAATGTTCTCTTCCCCTTTGGTCATGGAAATGAAGGTCAGTAGAAAGAATCACTGATTAAATCTCATGTATCAAGGTTTCAGAAGCATCTACATTTTATCTCTAAATGCAAATAGCCGGACAAACATCTCCACAGGGGGAAAGGCTGTTGGGTTATTTGAAAATTGAAAATTATTTCATAATTTGTATCCATACACAACGCAGTTCCTCTGCGGCAGACCTAGAGCAGGCTAGCTAGCAGCTCATTGGTTCGCTCAGAGAGAACTGCTTAAGCCTATGGGAGAGCGGGGCTGAACCCGCTTCCAATGAGAGGCGCCCGCGCGCTCATTGCGTCATGGCCCGCCAGAATGGGCGTGGCCATGGTGTATATAACAGTCTCTCCCAGGCAGTGTTGCCAACTATTTTCAAAGGAAAGTAGCTAAGGCCTTCCCTAAAAGTCGCTAAATGTCGCTAGATGACGTCATACGTCAATTAGCATATTAATGACGTCATCGCGTCGTACTTGCGTTCTGTCAGCCTAGTGCGTTTTCTCTCTAAATTAATGTTCTATTCAATAGAATATAGCCGAATGTCAAATAAAGCTGTTCTCGTTTCCTATTTTTTTGTTGTCAGACAATTGAACGAGTAGCTATAATATAGGCTAGTGAATGATTACATTTTTTATAGGCCTATGTGGAACATTATCTGAATGGGAACCGGATGAACTAAGCTCTGTGATAGTGTTTACAAGTAATAAGCACAAGAAAAGAAATAAAATTAAAATGGTCAAACTAAATTCTTTAAATATAAAACAAAAGAAAAGCAGATAAGTGATAAGTCCATGGAAAAACACTGCTCATTCGCGTCTGTCAGCGGCCGTGCGCTCCTCTCAGCCATTCACTGAACAGGGGAGACGCAGCTAGAGAGAGTGACGACAAGGAGACAGCAAGACCTCGCGCTCGCAGGACAGTACTGGCAACATTTGGAGGTTACTGGGGTTTGTCCAAAAAGTCGCTAAAATTGTCGCTAGTCGCTTTTTTGAAAAAATGTCGCTAAGGGGGTCTGAAAAGTCGCTAAAAATAGCGACAAAGGCGCTAAGTTGGCAACACTGCTCCCAGGCTTATATGTTGATTCATTTCATCTTCAGCAAGCTGCACGCTTCTGCTGTCCTGAGAAAAGCCGTCGCCGTCGAGAAGGCATCACTCTAGCGAGCTCCCGGACCCTGAAGAAGCCGGCCGTCTTCGCCACCTTCAGCCGCCCTGCAAGCTAGCGCCATCCGACGACTGTATCCTTCTCTATTATATCTAAAAGAGCCGAGCGTCTTTTTAAAGATGTCTCGTCTTTCCTGCGGCTCTTGCCGCGCTCGTCTCGAGGACGGAGACCGCCATGTCATCTGCGCTCTCTGCCTGGGACTCGAGCACGCAGAACTCGCCCTCGCGGATGGAGGATGCGACTTCTGTGAGAGCCTGCCGTTGTCGTCCCTGCGGGCACGACTTCTGGCAGCAAAATCCGCTCCCGCGCCGCCTTCCTCTTCGCCGCGTAAGAAAAAACGCCGCTCCCAGAGGCCGCCGGAGCCCCCAGCGGAACAATGCGGGCCGCCGCCGCCGCCTCCCGCTTCCCGCTCTACTTAAGTTTAATAAAAAAAATGTTTAAATGCTACTAAAAACAATAGTGTCAAAAACAATTTCTCACAGGGAATTCAAATTCTATCTGAAATGTTGTGGAACAACATAACAGTCTTTTGCCAGAAATCCAAAACCGCCATTGTAAAATCCCATTAGAAATTCCCAAGGGAAGTAATGGCTCGAAAATGCTACTTATTTCAGGTTTTAGAACTGAATTTCACTATTCTGCTGTATAAGAGTGAACATAGCAGTATCAGAAACTCGAGCTCTGGTCTTGTGTAGAGAGTGAGGGCTGCCTCCTAGTGGTGAAAAACTGTATAAAATTGATTGTGTAAACTGTATTTTGACTGTATAAAAAGTCTAACTGAACATGGGACATCATCAGACTTATCCGTTTTTTGGGGAAAATTGTGTAACCAAATCCCTGTGTTGCCAGTGAACTGAACTCATCGCTCATTATGAAAGAAACTCACCCACTGCCTCCCATTAGAACAGCATTTACTGTACTCTCTGCTTTCTGCACACTGTTCAGTCAGTCACTGTAATTAGTGCATTTGTCCATCCTCAGCAGCTCTTGATGTATGCCTGCTTCTATGTCTAATTATCCACTGTATTGATCACTGGAGACAACTGTCTATTTATTTCCAGCAGTAGAGCACATACTCTCCATTTGACATCCTCATTAGGATCCAGCAGAAGATATTTAGTGGACCGATAACATCTCATTCAACAAAGGCAAGACAGGGTTACATTTGAGGAATTATGGCCTGTTCTGCTCACATGGACATGCTGGATGAAAACATTGAGTCTTTCAGAGGCTGGGAATCAATTGTGTGGCATGGATTTCACCTGCAGGACTGGAGGAGACATGGAGTCATTAATAGAGTTGCCTATTTTGAGGTAATACTTGAATTACATTTTGGCTTTGTTTTCCCCCTATCAGATATTCTGTTTTAAATGGAAACATTTAAATATCCAAATTCAATGAATATATTGCTGCAGTTAATGAACTGTTTTTTTGTGTGCCACATGTGTCCCCATGACTCACTATTGATACAATTAACAAATAGAATTATTAGAATAATTAACAGTTAGATTTAACTAAAGTTATCCAATATTTTTACCGATATTCTTAGACCCTATCAGGTCTACTAATATATGAATTCATATGGGTCTCTAAAGGATAACACATAAGAACACCATACAGGTACATAGCGTGCTAAATATCAGTTCATAATTAACTTAATAATGGACATGGCAACGGGCACGCAAAAGGTGTAACTTAAAAGTGTGTTATATCTAAAAACTCATTAAAAAAAATGAGTGTTTTGATAGTCTTGCCGCATTTTTGTAAAATTATGTTTCTCTTCCAGGTCATGAATGCATTATGAGGGTAAATAAAAACATATTTTATAAATATTTATATTTAATAAACATTTTTGTTAACTAACATTAACAAAGATTAATAAATTCTGCAAAAATATATTGTCATTGTTAGTTTGTTAACTAATGCTTTACCTGGTGTCTGTCAACAAATAAAACCTTATTGTATAGTGTTACCATTATTTTTGTTATTATTTTATGCCGAGTTGTTGTAGATTATTTTGTTATCATTGTGGCAGAAATAATTATTAGAAATGTAAGTGTAGACATTAATAATAATTAAACATTATTTATTTAAATAATAGTAATTATTAAAAAAATATATTTAAAATGATTTTTATTATTAATCAGGACCTACATTTTCATTTGATATGTAGAATAAGAGGGTTCCTGAGGATGACTCTGTTATGGTCTATCTCTGTGTGTGGTCACATCTACTTTCACAGTGGGCTGAAATCTCATCAATGCTGTGCTGTGCTTTACTTTTCTTCATTTAAAGCTGATAATCAAGGCTAGATGTCAATGAAAGTCCGTATATTATTAAAGCTTGATGGGGGGTCGTCTCCCCTTACCAGAAGGATTAAACTCAAGCACTTGATGATATGATAGTTGGCAGTGTTATTGGAGTTCAGAGGTGCAGCGGGGCTGATGAATTGCCCCTAACCGTCAGAGACAAATTTAGATCAGCTTGCAGCTCCAAATCCAAGACATGCCCCTCACATCTCTCAGCTGGCGTGCGTCCGTGTGCATATACCTACTACATGAGAGACACATTTCTGCAGACACACCTCACAAATACTCCAAGTAATGTATGACATGACATACCAGCCCTGTTTTCTGGAAATATAAAGTCATGCATGATTGATAATAAGCGTTTGAAATCTCAAAATGTGGTAACCTAAGCCAAATTATGCAACTATGTCAACATATACTCTTGCTGTGATACTCAAATGGATATGCCTGAGGTCATCATGAGCATGCCATCTCTTACCACGTGACTGTGAGGGTCCGATCGCTTCGCCCTACTGGCATCAGTATACCAACCTCCAAAATCAGGGTTCACCTACAACCCTCAGCAGGCATCATGGACTTAAGGGATCTCTTCACCGTAGCCCATTTCATTAAGATCAGGTGTGAACACGGCCTGAAAGCTGGTGCCACGGCCACCAAGGATAAGAATTATGTCTTTTTTGAGGTGGAGATCCTGGACCTCAAGAGCAAGGCGCAACTCTGCTACCTGGATAAGGTGTGTGTGCTTGCGCACCTTAGTGTTTGCATTGAGCAGTGTTGTTTTAATACTATTCATATGCTATTATTATATGTATGTATTATTATTTTGAATTACTTTTTATACTTTTATACTTTTTATATTGTCTAATTGTATTTTTCTGAATCTATTTTTATATTAAGTTATTTTGTTGTGTTTTGTCGATTATTATTACTTAAAAAAAGAAAGAAATCAATTTAGTTTTTATTCATTTTTATTTCAGCTTTAGTCGTTTTAGTACTGGTAGTACTGTAGTAGTTGCCAAAGCAAAATTTTTAAAAGTTGAAATGTTTTTTCATCGAATTAATACTGCTATGTCGAATTTTGTCCAAAACCTATACTTTTGTGAACTAGTCCCTGCATGGTTTTTCGCCCGATTGGAACCAAACCAGTTTTGGGCAATTCTCTGGACTCTCTAGATCAATAATTATCGAAAGAAAAGTTTAACTTTTGCATTTGGGTGGCTGTAATGGCTTTAATCTGAGGTCACAGAAAAAAAATCGTGAACATTAGGTGGCGCTATAAGTTGAGAAAAAGAAACATAAAATGGGCTATGACCACCTGACTGTTAGTCCGATTGACTTGAAAATTTGTATGCAGTGTCTTGGTCCAAGGTGCCATGTATGTGTATGAGGACATTGGTGTATCTCAAAAAACATGGCTGCCATCGGCCAATGAATTTTGAGCACCTATGAGACAAGGTTAATGAAGGCCAATCGGAACGAAACTCGATGGGCATGTTCAACTCATGGCCCTAGAGGTGTGTAAGAATTTTGAAAGAAATCGGCCACAAGTTGGCGCTAACGAGTTTTACGGCTCTGTGATCACGTGGTGTTGCACACATCCACACAATATGCATAGCATATCATAGATCTCCTCATACTGATCAACTTTGCCTCTAGAACCATTGCTGTCAATCAAATCGTTAATTATATATTCACGAATATGTTAAAAACGTACTTTTGCGAACTAGTCCTAGGTTTTTCGCCCGATCGGAACCAAACCAGTCTAGGACAATTCTCTGGACTCTAGATGAATAATTATTGAAAAAAACTTTACCTTTTGCATTTGGTTGCCTATAACAGGGTCATTTAGAAAATGGGTGTGGCAAAAAAAACACTCAAAAGCCTATTAATCCTAAACGAAAACTCAGAACTTCACAAAAATTTTATGCAGATCGGACCATGTGGCGCTATAACTGTCAAAAAGCTTTGAAAAACATATATTTCCTATGGTAAATTGCCTGTATTAGCTGTAAATGGTATTTTCCATCTATGATGTCAGTGGTTAAATGCTTGCTAAATAAAACTTAATGTCTTTAAAGCTTATGTGCTTAAAGGCCTTAGATGCTTGAACCCCACTAAATGCTGTATTTGCCATAAATGATATTTTAGTAAACAAATGCCTCTTGTTTCAATTCTTGAACTTCCTCAGGTGGAGCCCAATGCCACCGTTGCAGAGATCAAAACATTGTTGCACAAAATGTGTAAGTGATTTCTGTTCTTAAACAGTCAAAGACTTAATTTGATAATGCTTATTCAAGCTCGGAAGCTTACATATACATATATATATATATATATATATATATATAGTACAGTAATATGACCAAGCTGTTGTAAATATTACAATTCTTGAAATCCCTGTAGATCCCAAGTTTTATCCATCAAGACAGGCACTGAAGCTGCATCCTGGTAAACTTACTTTTTATTTATTATTTAATATTTTATATTTTATTCTGTTCTGAACAAAGGAGAAGGTAAAATAAAAAAGAGAGAGAATTAATACCTCACACACCAGATGCTTTTGCAATCTTAGAACATATGTGGGCATCTGCAATTCTCCTGCCAGAATATCAGGCATCATTTCACACTGGAGAAGTGAGAGAGTGAGAAAATTGCAGCTTTCAAAAAACTAAAGCTGTTCATACTGCATTATTTATGAAAATTTAGATTTTCTTCTTTAAGTGACATGTGAAGGCCAAGTGTGGTAACCCATACTCGGAATTTGTCCTCTGCATTTAACCCATCCAAGTGCACACACATTAGGAGTAGTGAGTAGTGAACACACTGCAAACTATGGACACACACACCCGGAGCAGTGGGGAGCCTTTTTCTTTTCTTTTTCTTTTTTTTTTGCTGTGGCGCTCGGGGAGCGTTTGGGGGTTAGGTGCCTTGCTCAAGAGCACCTTAGTCATTTCCTGCCAGAATTGAGAATCTAACACGCAACCTTCGGGTTACCAGTCTGACTCTTTAACCATTGGGCCAAAAAATTTCGTTTTTATAATATATATCTAAACTGAGGTGCATTTCTCTTTGGTTATATTTATGTCATGACTGACTTGATTGATTCTCAGAGGGAAAGGCCCTCAGTGATGATGATGTGCTGGAGGATCTACCAGTTGGCACCACTGCAACGATGTTCTTCCAGGACCTCGGCCCACAGTTAGGCTGGACTATGGTAAAGAAAGCATTTTGATGCATGCTTATTTTAACAATAGCAGTTTACTGTGTGCATGCCAGTAATGGTGTTTTTGTTGGGGGCTGATTGTAGGTTTTTCTGGCAGAGTGTCTTGGGCCTCTTTTCATTTACCTGCTGTTCTACTATCGGCTTCCATACATCTACATGCCTGAGTATGACTACACCCAAAGTCCATTGAAAGTTGTCAAGTGAGTTCGAAGTGAAAAATCTTGTTCAGATGTGCTAAACTTGATGAATGCTAATGAACAGCAAATTGATCACACTTAAATTTAGTTTATTCTTTTTTTTTTTTTTTTGGTGTAACCTAATGTATTAAGGTTGGTTCAGTGGTATTAAATAGTACTTTTGACTTTTGATGCTACTACACGAAGCACATTTTTAAGTTTTTAAAAAATGCAGCTCATGTAACTTTTTCTTTCAGTGTGAAAATAAATCATGAATAATTTACCAAACACGTGGCAAACAGTTTTCAAGTGGTTTATATTGGACCCTGTTGATACAGGCTGGCTTGCTGGTGCCACTCTCTTCATTACATCAAGAGGCTTGTGGAAACTATTTTTATCCATCGCTTTTCTGACGGAACGTTACCTTTACGCACCATCATGCTGGTATGTTTATGTCTGTAATATATTCATGAATTATTTACTTTTTCTTTCTCTGTATTTAATATGCCCCTTGCTGTTTTTATGCACTAAAAAATAAGACAACATGCTTTCCAAAGTCGTATTGTCACAATTGTTCCTGTCTTGGCACATTAGCTAATGTGTCTGAAGTGCTTATGACATTGGCATTAGTTCAGTGGTGTCAGTGAAGCATTGAGGAGCTTTAGGGGGGATATTTGGCTGCTTTCCATTAAGTGTCGTCTTGCTGGTTTAAATGATGCCCCTACAGTATCTTTCAACACACTGGGAATACATATGGTTTGACCATATGGAAGAGTCATTCAAAATAATGCCTGCACAAATGCTAACAATGCAAATGAGAAAGCTTAAATTAAGTATAAAACAGCTAAAATATACATTTAAGGTTTCCCTTTAACATTAAGTCTGGTATTATTCTTTGAGCAGTTACTGTGTGTTATGTGATCCTCACACAAATGTATAATGTCGTTTCTTTAGCTCTGTCTGTACTACTGGGGATTTGCATCATGGCAGGCATATTACATCAATCATCCGCTCTACACACCACCAAGTAAGTGCTCATTATGTCACACATTAGATAAGTTTGTGTCCCTCATATTAACTCCTAATTGTTTCTCTAGGCTATGGGAGACTTCAAATCTACTCTGCACTGGCAATGTTTTTGGTATGTCAAAATCTCTATTAATTAAAGTCAAATATTTAAAGCTATTTTATGTAACTTCTTTGATTTAAATTTTTTTTTATAATAATGAGAGAGTGCAAAAGGTCATCTTTTCCAAATCATGCCTTTATCCAAGTTTGATAAACCTATTATAATGATAAATATTTTAGAGCTGTCAGGACTCATTTCGTCGGAAATTGCATGCTGTACATAAGTCATTCACTTGTGCAAGTAATCTATGCTAAAAGCTTAACAAATCATCTAATACCATTAAATATGAAGTGTCTGTATAATATGTGTTATTTTTTTAATTTGTAGGGCTTGTTTTTTTTTGTTTTATAGAGAGCTTGGTTAACCTGGCCAAAAATAAACTTTTAACTACAACTCTTCCTTTTCATTCTACACATGTGTTTCTAGAAATGTCTACAAATTTAGAAAACTGATCTGAGATCAGCTAAAAACCTTTCAGGTTAGGACTGTAACCCGAGTTCCCAGACTAGGGAACGAGACACTCCAGGTTGTTTACACTTTGGGAACTTGGTTTCAGCACATGTGAAATCACGCTAATTCTATTGGCTGCCAGTAGTCATATGACTTAAATTGTCACGTACCTGGGACCATCCTGCTGCATCACAAGAAGATCCAGACAGCAAAACTCTCAAAGAGGCCTCTAGTAGAGTGGGCTCTAATGCCTAGAGGTGAAGGTACTCCACACACTCCATAGGCCGCAGAAATAGCCTGCACAATCCAGTGTGCTACATACTTAGAAGCTGCAGAGTCCCTGCTGTGTGCTCCAAAACAGACAAACAACTGTTCTGATTTACGCCAATGGCCTGAGTGGTGGACAATGCTAAGGGCCCGAACAGGGTATAAGAGATTAAGCCTCTCCTGCACCGCAGATTGAAAAGGCGGAGGAAAGAAGGCCTGAAGGACCACTGAACATGGGACTGAGGAAGGCACCTTCGGCATTCTATCTGGCCTAGAATGTTGAATAACTAACTCTACCCGCAGCAAAGACTAATCAGGAGGAGACAACTAGCAGGCCCTGAAAATCTCATACACTCTTCAGGGAGGAAATAGCAAGGAGAAAGGGTACCGAAAGAGTCAAAGCTTTACTCAAGAGGCTTAAATGCTGCCATAGCCAGACCTTCCAGGACAATAGCAAGGTCCCAAAAAGGAACTCTGGACTGGGGAAAAGGCCTAAGATGTCTCGCTCCCCTCAGAAATCAAGACACCAAAGGATGCTTCCCCAGGAATGCACCATCAATGGGTATGTGTGGCTAGCAGAAATGGCCGGCACATACACCTTAATTGCAGATGGAGTCAACCCAACAGAAAAGTGGTCTAGCAGGAACTCCAGCAGTGAACCAAGAGGGCAGTTAACCGGGTCCAGGGTCCATGCTCTCTGCACCACAAGGAAAGCCTTCACTTGAAGGCGTACAGTTTCCTAGTGGATTGAGCCCTTATAGGATGGTCTTAACAACCTCAGTTTAAAGATCAACACCAAGAGTTGATCCACTCCATATTTTGGTCGGGGGTGATAAATATTTCCCCCTGCCTGAGACAGAAGATCTCTTCGGACAGAAACCTTTCATGGAGAGCCGTCCAGTAGAGATATCAGTTCTGAAAACTAAACTCAAGCCGGCCAAAATGGGGCTATGAGTAATAGGCAAACCCTGCACTGGCGTCATGTCTGTACCATGGCATCCAACCCCAAGGGTACTGGAGGTGTTAGAGAGAACCAGAGTATTCATTTAGACAAGCAAACAATAAATAAGACAAAAGATTTCGCATCAAATGACAAACCCACCGGCAGCCAATTCTGTGATTTCACATGTGCTTCAGAGACCGGTAACATGGAAGCGTTCCCATTGCATCAACAAAATAACTCAGTATTGAGTCCCCTCGAAAGGGAACCACATACAGTAGACAATGGTTCATGGGTTAACAGAGATCTCCACCCCCTAGCGGGAAACATTTCGAAATGGTTATGCTGTAACAAAGGCTCATTTGATTAAATCATGTGACTTTGGCAGTTTAATACACAACCTGAATCACTGATTTGAGACAAATTGTTCACAAAGATTTTGAAGCTTCACAAAACAGCCTTTCAAAAGTGCCCATCACTAGCGAAAAGTGTCTCCAGCTGTGCGTGTTGTGAAACTGAATGAAAAACTAAACTTCAATACAGAAAACCACTGGGGAATCACTGGTTGTAAAAACAAAGAAACTGTTATTTATGCACTTTTATTTTTTGGGGGGCCACATGTTACAAAGTGTAGCTTTTTTCTCCATCATCTCTTTGTCTGTTCATTTTTATTCAGGTCTGTGAGTTTGGCAATCTCTCAGTTCATCTGATTCTGAATCGAATCAGCTGTAATGGTGAGCCCTAATAAAGATTCATCTGTTTAGTTGTGTGGGCGTAATCATGACCGATCAAGACAGACAGTGAACCCAGTGATTGTGATTAATTACCATTTCTTTCTTCCATTTCATGAAGAAATGTGTGGGTGTATGCTGTAAAATTATATCTAATTAATACCTGCTTCAGAGACTAGACAATCTCCTGAATGGATCCTTAACTCTTTAGTTTCTTGAATATTAACCAGTTTATATCCAGTTTTCATTACTTCATAACCTTACGATCTTCTCACATCGACAGGGTCCAGGCCTACAGAGATTCCTTATCCCACAAAGAATCCATTCACTTGGCTGTTTTTCTTCGTGTCCTGCCCAAACTACACATATGAGGTTTGTAAAGTAAAAAAGTAAAAAGTAATTTTTTTCATGTCAAAAAAGCAGTAAATGAGACATTTGGAACATCTGAGGTGTCCACACCTGTAGAGAGCTACCTCACAGTGTGTGTGAAAAGTTTCTGGTTAAAGTATCCTTGTGGAAATATTGTTTTGTGCAGTGATGCAAAATTTGAAACCTGAATTTATTTCCAGGTGGGATCATGGATCAGCTTCACAGTCATGACACAGTGTGTTCCAGGTACACAGTGTTACAAACCAAATGCAGAGAGTCCAAATGTCTGAGACCACAAATCGAATCGAAACCTGTGAATTAAAGTTTATGTATTTATGACATAAAATTAATGAGCTATATTTAATATTGTGCTTTTTTTTAGGCAACAGTCTTTCCATTTTTAAATAGTTATGCTGATTATATGGTCAAAAGTTTGCTTACCAGGCTACATTTATGTGATCAAAAATACAGTAATAACAGTAAATTCCTGTGATGGCAAAGCTGAATTTTCAGCATCATTACTCCAGTCTTCAGAGTCACATGGTCCTTCAGAAATCATTCTAATATGATTATTTGTTGTTCAATTATTATTGGTACTCAATTATTAATAATAGTCCTCCTTAATATTATCAATGTTGAAAATGATCTTTTTTGCTGCTCAATATTTTTTGTTGAAACCGTTATACATCTTTTTCAGGATTCTTTGATGAATAGAAAGTTTAAAGGGATACTCCACCATTTTTTTCATATTAAACTATGTTATTCCCTTAACTAAGACGAGTTGAGACATACCTCTCTCGTCTCAGTGCGTGCACTCAATCGCTCTGGCGCACGAGACACTTTGATAGCACTTAACTTAGCCCAGTTTATTCATTAGGATCCAACCAGAGAAGCGACCAAACACCTCCACGTTTTCCCTTTTTAAATACAGTTACACGAGTAGTGTAACTCGACCAAGAATGGTGACACAAAATAAAACGTTGCGCTTTTCTAAACGTGTAAAGTGGATAACTATAATGTATGGCGGAATACCATAGCAAGTGCTTGGGATCACTTCGACTCGATGCAGTAATATCATCACTCGTGAAAAGTCATCTCCCCCTCTCCCTCTCCGGAGTGATGATATTACTGTGCCGAGTCCATAGATATACACTCACCTAAAGGATTATTAGGAACACCTGTTCAATTTCTCATTAATGCAATTATCTAATCAACCTATCACATGGCAGTTGCTTCAATGCATTTAGGGGTGTGGTCCTGGTCAAGACAATCTCCTGAACTCCAAACTGAATGTCAGAATGGGAAAGAAAGGTGATTTAAGCAATTTTGAGCGTGGCATGGTTGTTGGTGCCAGACGGGCCGGTCTGAGTATTTCACAATCTGCTCAGTTACTGGGATTTTCACGCACAACCATTTCTAGGGTTTACAAAGAATGGTGTGAAAAGGGAAAAACATCCAGTATGCGGCAGTCCTGTGGGCGAAAATGCCTTGTTGATGCTAGAGGTCAGAGGAGAATGGGCCGACTGATTCAAGCTGATAGAAGAGCAACTTTGACTTAAATAACCACTCATTACAACCGAGGTATGCAGCAAAGCATTTGTGAAGCCACAACACGCACAACCTTGAGGCGGATGGGCTACAACAGCAGAAGACCCCACCGGGTACCACTCATCTCCACTACAAATAGCAAAAAGAGGCTACAATTTGCAAGAGCTCACCAAAATTGGACAGTTGAAGACTGGAAAAATGTTGCCTGGTCTGATGAGTCTCGATTTCTGTTGAGACATTCAGATGGTAGAGTCAGAATTTGGCGTAAACAGAATGAGAACATGGATCCATCATGCCTTGTTACCACTGTGCAGGCTGGTGGTGGTGGTGTAATGGTGTGGGGGATGTTTTCTTGGCACACTTTAGGCCCCTTAGTGCCAATTGGGCATCGTTTAAATGCCACGGCCTACCTGAGCATTGTTTCTGACCATGTCCATCCCTTTATGGCCACCATACCCATCCTCTGATGGCTACATCCAGCAGGATAATGCACCATGTCACAAAGCTCGAATCATTTCAAATTGGTTACTTGAACATGACAATGAGTTCACTGTACTAAAATGGCCCCCACAGTAACCAGATCTCAACCCAATAGAGCATCTTTGGGATGTGGTGGAACAGGAGCTTTGTGCCCTGGATGTGCATCCCACAAATCTCCATCAACTGCAAGATGCTATCCAATCAATATGGGCCAACATTTCTAAAGAATGCTTTCAGCACCTTGTTGAATCAATGCCACGTATAATTAAGGCAGTTCTGAAGGCGAAAGGGGGTCAAACACAGTATTAGTATGGTGTTCCTAATAATCCTTTAGGTGAGTGTATATGCGCCGAGTCGAAGTGCTCCCAATCACTTGCTATGGTATTCCACCATACATTAGAGTAGGGGTGCGCCAAAATATCGATAAGGCGATATCTCACGGTATTTACTCCCGCGATCGATTCTCGATGCGCTCTTGCCAAGTATCGATCTTAAAAGCCGTTATAAAACGCTCTATTCATTATCCGAGTTGACTGGATTTGACTAGCTTTCATGAGGCACACACGCAAAGTCTCTCGCTCTCTCCCTCTCTGCCGTGCTATGTATGTTATGCGCGCAGTAGGCAGTTCTGTCTCCCATGCGCGCTCTAGATTCCGGGAGATTTGAACTAATTTGCGGGCATCAGGGAGACGCTATCATTATGCGGGAGACTCCCGGAACTTCCGGGAGACTTGGGATGTCTGGCTTTGCAAAAGTCCGCAAAACGGGAAACACGACCACATGTACAGACACCTCACGCGGCATCACCCGGAGCTCTGTGAGAAAGCCGTGGTTGGTGCTGGCTCGAAGCCGACACACCCCGGCGTAAACATTTTTATTACTACTGATTGCAGCAATGTTACACTAAAATAGTGTCTGTGACTGTTTTGTTGCAACTGATAAGACACAAGTTGTTTTTGTTATTGTGTTTCATCCCAAAAAATAAATGGAGATTAATTTTCCTAATTAAAAAAAAATTTGTATTTCTTAAAACATGATATATTGTGAGTTATTACTGATAATATGTCGATTATCGCAGTATCGCCATATCGTGATATTATCGGTATCGTGAACAATGTATCGCATATCGTATCGTATCGTGAAGTACCCAGCGATTCCCAGCCCTACATTATAGTAATCCACTTTACACGCTTAGAAAAGCATAACGTTTTATTTTGTGTCACCATTCTTGGTAGAGTTACACTACTCGTGTAACTGTATTTAAATAGGGAAAACGTGGAGGTGTTTGGTCGCTTCTCTGGTTGGATCCTAATGAATGAACTGGGCTAAGCTAAGTGCTATCAAAGTGTCTCGCACGCCAGAGCGATTGAGTGCACGCACTGAGACGATAGAGGTATGTATCAACTCGTCTTAGTTAAGGGAATAACATAGTTTAATATGAAAAACGGTGGAGTATCCCTTTAATAAATAGCATGCATTTAAAATAAAAATATTTTGAACATTATACATATCTTTACTGTCACTTTTGATCAATTTAATGCATTCTTGCGATAGATAGATAGATAGATAGATAGATAGATAGATAGATAGATAGATAGATAGATAGATAGATAGATAGATAGATAGATAGATAGATAGATAGATAGATAGATAGATAGATAGATAGATAGATAGATAGATAGATAGATACTTTTGGACTTCTCTGTATATAAATTATGTGTATATATTTTGCTGCACCTGCCTGATAAGAACCATGAATCCTTCATATTTCTGCAGTTGGAGTTTTCGCATTTTTAGGGTTTATTCAGATGACTATATGGGCTCGGGCAAAGCATAAAACCTACGCCCAGCAATTCGAAGACTATCCTGATCTGAGAACAGCCATTATTCCACTCTTCTTCTAGATCTGTTGAATCGAGGATGAATCTACATGCACTTTTGTCATTGGACTCTTCACCAAACATCAGAAAAATAAGTTTTTTTTTTTTTTGTCAGACCTAGTTTTTTTTAGACACAATTAAGTTTGTGATGTACTCTCCAAAGTATTAACTGGTGATTAATTACTATTAATTGCATTAATTATAAAGAGGCTTACTGAGCATAGACTGAGGTTATACTTCAAAGTCAAGGAAGATACGGACAGTGACTAATACTTATGTGCAGGAGGCGTATATCACAAACTTAAACATTTGCTTGACAAAGAGTAAGTTGAGTCTCGATTGAAGGTCTTCAGACCATCAAGCAGAAAACATGGTGTACAGTATGATCCTGTTTTATTGTTGATTATTCATTTTTGTATTCCATTAAAACATTTTGCAGAACGTATCAAAGTGTTTTTGTAGTAAAGAAAATGTTACTGAAGATTTGTATTTCTCAGAAATAAAAGTGATTTTTCAAATGTCAGTATTTTCAAGATATGGTAAAACAATCTTACAGAATAGTTTTTATTGTTATTGAAAACCATCTGTTGTGTTATTGCATATTAAAACTATATTTGCTTAAAATATTTACTGATGAATACAATTGAAACACTCTTTTCCTCAAAACAGACACATTTACTCACTGATTTTCACAGTCTACACCATGAGGTCAGGGTTTGGCTGTTGGTAGATGCCATAAGTGTGTATTCACTGCATAAAAAAACTCAAACCAAATAAAGAGTTTCAGAGAGAGTGCCAGCCAGCTGACCCCTAGAAAGAGTAACAATAAAAAAAATCACTTTTTTGAAATGCTGCAAATCTGCATACGTTTCAGGTTCTGAATACAGATTTCAAATTTATTTAAGCTTATACTGTTGGTTTAACCAGTACAAAATCAACACATTATCAAAGTTATATTAGAATGAAGCATTTTGGTGAGTGCGTACACAGGCACTGCTGTAGCAGATGCTCTTTCATTCAGCATTTGAAAGATTTGTACAACAAAGAAAAATTGCAACACTAATATTTACAGATGTATAAATATAATCCATATTTCAGATTGTATGGGAACCTAAAGCAAGTTTTGTGTGCAACAACTTAGAAGTCTTTTTCAAGAGTTTTATACATCTACTTCGCCTGACCTGCATCAATTCATCAGCATTACTGTATCAATGAAGGTTTCCTTTCATTGGGTGGAGATTGACCTTTGGCTCAAAGTGCTGTGAACTAAGGGCAGATATTCAAAAATATCAAATATAATTTTAAAAATCTGTCATTTTTTAAACTTAATATAGATGCAGTTGGTTTTGTGTATAAATACATATGTAAAAGGCTTTAGGGAACTTTATAAACACTTGAAGCATCTGAGTTCATTCTATCTGTTTTTTGACGTTACTCTTTGTAGTGGCGAGATCTTTTTCTCTCGTCTTGGTCCTGATGCTCTGAGATGAGGTGGGACAGTATCTTCCTCTCCTGACTGCTGCTTGGCAAAACTCACAAACACCTGTAAGGCAGTGAAACAGATGAGCCGTCAGTCCTGTCAGTCAAATCTGCTGAGCAAATCAAATTCAATCTCCAAATGGGTATTTCAACCAATAATTCATTTCTAATGGAAGGTCCCTAAAGCACAGCATGTCAGTTTCACAGAATAAAGTCATTTTTCCTGTCTGCGGTCAAAATGAAAATGCTAAAATAACTTAAAAGTCTTAACATGCTGTGGGCAGCTGGTATAGATTGACATGAAAGAGATTTGTTACTTGATGCTTTATCAAATCGCACCTGGTCTAATGTGGTCTGAGACACAGAGTAGTCTTCAATGTTCAATCTCTCTTTGTTGGTCAACACCAGCTGGAAGATTCGTGCCAGTGAAGCGGCGGCGATTTCATATTGTAAAGTGTTGTAGTGTTTCTCTCGCTGTATACATCCCGGGAAGCTGCTGTCCATGAAGGACTCGGCCGGGCCCAGGTCAGGAGTCAGGCCTGCTTTTGCAGCTTTGATCTTCATCGTGACCACATAACCACCTCCAAACCTGTCCGCAAGTACAATCAATACACACAGTGCATATAAAATCAAGTATGCACTTGTTTTGTTGACCATTTGATAGAGATTGTTATGCATATCAGCATTAAAAGTTGAACATTTAAAGGGGACCTGTTATGCCCTTTTACAAACTCTTGATTTAGTTTTTGGGGTCTACTAGAATAGGATTCCATGCATGAATGTTCAAAAACACCTTATTGTTCACATATTTAACATCGTTGCAGCACCTCTCTTCCCAGTCTGTCTGTAACGTTCTGTTTAGTTTCAGTCTCTGTGAAGCCCCTTGTTCCAAAAAGCGCAATGCTCTAATTGGTCGGCTAGCCAGTGTTGTGATTGGTCAACTGTTTCTAGTATGTTTTTGAAATGTCACGCCCCTTACCATAACCTTGAGTTTCAACACACTACTAATGCAACTCAACCAGGCCTCGCCCCCTTTTTTTGAGTATGCTTTGGGTGGGAATTATTTACACACTTGTGAAGTGTACATTCCCGGAAGTTTCAGAAGTTCAGAAACAGTGCTTACCGATATAGAGAATAACTCCATGTGGACTTTGTGCTTTGAAACAGACCTTTTTTCATGCAAAATTACACACTGAACAAGGTTGAAAATGTAAAAAAGCATAATAGGACCCATTTAACACTGGAAAAACAGTTTGAAAAACAAGTTGATTTGTGGTAATATGGACATGGCATCCTTGAGTTTATATATATATATATATATATATATATATATATATATATAAAAACATTCCAAAATAACATACTCACTTGTATTTCAGATGCTGGATTGTGCCCAGACATTTAAATTTCCCATTGACCATGATGGCCAAACGAGTACAAAGAGCCTCACACTCTTCCATACTGTAAATGCAAACAAACAAACAAACAAACAAACAAACAAACAAACAAATAATGTAAATATATATATTATATATATATATATATATATATATATATATATATATATTTCTATAATAATGATTAATACATTAAAATAATATTTGGACACTTAGTTATTTTTTTCAAATATATTTTTATTATATATATATTTATTTATTATAAATATATTTATTATATTTATATAGTATAAATATATTAATTATAAGTATTTATTTAAAGAAACACTTGGTATATCACTAAAAAACTATGCATGTGATTGAAGTACCTCTGAGATTGTAAGTGTATATTTAAATAATTTAACACATTTGCATGTTCACTGATATATATATATATATATATATATATATATATATATATACACACACAAACATATAGGGCTGCATGGCTAGGCCAAAAATTATACTGTGATATTCTGCGATTTTAACTGTGATGTGACATTTCATTTCACATTAAATATCTCATATTGCTACTGATTTACTTTCAACATGGTATAAGCTGTTAAATGATAAATGATGCTCTTCACTCTGAAACACACAGTGCGACTGACTGTATACTTGATTATTTATTAAATGACATCCTGTTTGGGAAACCCTGACAAATACTTGCCTGTGTGACGTCAAAACGACTGCCCTCCCATCACGGATGATACTCAGAATGGCGGTCCACAGGAACCGACGGGAGTGAGGGTCCATTCCTGTGGTGGGCTCATCCTACACACATTTACAGGGTTACATTACACCAATGTTTTGTTTTGCGCAATGACACTGAGAATGCTTGGGAAAAACATACCAGGAGCACTAAAGGAGGACAGCCAATCATAGCGATAGCAGTAGACAGCTTCCTCTTGTTGCCCCCGCTGTATGTACCAGCACAGTTTCCGGCATATTCAGACAGACCCAGCTTCTGAACGCCCCATTCTGCCACCTACAGAAAACATAACAGTCATACATGATGATTGTATCAGAATGCTTTAAGAATTTCAGCCAACAAAGCCTAACATATAGTAGTTATTTGTGTACAATGAAATGTGGAAACTTTTCTACTTTCACTCAAGTATGTGTTCAAGTGTCATGTACTATGTTCTTGTCCTGGTGTGTGTCATGTGATCTGTAAGGGGTTGGAGATGAATGAGGGGTCAGACTGTGAGTCTCACTCTGCTAATCTCAGATTCAGGGATCCCGCGGAGGCGTGCGTACAGGTACAGGTGCTCCCTCCCCGTCAGCAGTTCATCTATGGCATCAAACTGAGGACAGTAGCCCATGTTCTGGTGCACATCCAGTATGTTGGTAAGAATGCTGAAGAAAAGCAGTTCATGATTAGCGTTTACATCCAATACAAGTTCACAACTAGTGGCTGTAGATTTGAAAATCATGCTTTCCCCATTATTGTTGAATCACGGAAGCTACACCAGATATTTTGCCAAGATTTCTCTTATTTATTATGTAATATACATGTATCAGACAAACGAGAGAAACTAGAGAAACAGGCATATAAGAATAAGGCTAAAGGTGAGGTGGTCTTCATTCCAGATTTCTCTGTTCCCCATTTCTCTATCCCCTCACCCCATCATGCCAGCTCTAAATGGTTTCTCTGTGTTTCCTCACGCCCTCGTGCCTTTATGTTTCTCCTTCTCTCACCCCCTCATGCCTTTATGTTTCTCCTTCTCTCACCCCCTCATGCCTTTATGTTTCTCCTTCCTCTCACCCCGTCATGCCTCTGTGTTTCTGTTTCTCCTTCCTCACCCCTTCATGCCTTTATGTTTCTCCTTCCTCTCACCCAATCATGCCTTTATGTTTCTCTGGGTCAGTACAGTAATGATTTAGCTTATATACACCACTGAGCGACTTTCATCTTCATTGTAAGGTAGAAAAACATGTTTCTTATGTTTAAAAATGGAATGCCTCATGCTTACACATCCAACTTTCCATATTAAGAAACTATCCCTCTGTGTATACATTAGTGGTACATATGCATCAGTTGAAACATCCCTTTCCTTGTGAAGAACATGCCAACTGTACACATTTGAAGTATCATCATCATTGGTGACAGAAATATGATCCTTAAACACATGTGTCCATGCAATCTAGTCGAACTCATGCATTTTAAACTTCATAAGATAATACAACTGATTATGAATACTAATTATATAAAGAATTCTATTATATAAAGAATAATACAGATACATAATACTAAATAATGCAATTATATTAAAAGATGAAATTTTAGTCTTTAGTGGCTCTTTATAGTTTGTACATTACCTGTATCCAGCTACTGACGCCTCGCCTGATGTCACATCAGTGTCTCCGGTTAGCATTTTAAAGGTTGTGGTTTTACCAGCACCGTTTACACCAAGAAGGCCAAAGCACTGCACGAAACATTTAAGTTGAATACCACATCATTGTTCAGTGGTTCATTTCAATTGAAAGAGCAGCGGTATGGTTTACAAATCAACATTTTTTTTCAGTGATACCTCCCCCGCTGGGACTCCTACACAGATTCTGTCCGTTGCTGGTCGTTTTCTGCGCCTGTATGTCTAAGATCAGACCGCACATTTCAGCATGGCAATAACAGTCCTTCAAAACACTACAAATTCAAAACTGACATTGTTTACAAAAAAGAATCCAAAAATGGAAGCTTTTTGTCTTATGGTCACTTACTTTTGACAAGTCTCGAACTAGAAGGATGTCATTCTTGTTCCCTCCTTTGTAAATGCG